AAGTAGATATTAGGTTAAGTGAAGGTTAAAGGATTTTAATATTTGAAGGTTTACACTGACTTTTGCTTCTATTATTTTTGGGACAGAGTTAAAACAAAAAATGGTCCTGGAGTTTTAAAACCCAGAATGTGAATTAGCACTTAAATCTACTACATAGTTTATTTTTGAAAGACAAATTTAGCAAATGCACATGCTGTTAGATACTATATTGGCACAAGGCATTCAAAACATTCAATGTTTTCTTAAAGTCTGTGTCACTTTAAGGTACGATGCCAAAGGTGATTTCAAAACACGTTACCAATCATTTTTGAAATTCTACTCTGCAACGTCAAAATTGTAATGCCAATTCTCATGTCTTACCATTTTTCATGACTATTATACCAATTAAGGCCTCATTTTAAGATGCCTTTTAAGGAAACCCTGAGTATAACCCGAGGGTGTAGGTGTGGGTAGTATTACAAGTATATATATTCACCTGTCTCATATCCCCAAAATAAAGGTTTCCCTCTGTGAAGTCCTTTCCGAGGGAAACGTTCAGCGTGACCTCTGCGTTGTCGTAGTGGTAGCTCAGGTCCCGGTCTTCGTCCATGTCGTATTTCACCACGAAGGCCTTGTGGCTGTCCAGGCTGCCCCCCCCCCACAGTCGGGGTAGAGCAGGGAGGTGAGCGGCTGCAGGTAACGCTGGCGGAGCGGCGTGATGAAGCCCTCGTCGAAGCCCAGTTCATTCAGCAGGATCTGGAGGACATTCATGAATAACACACTTTCAGACTAGAGGTAAGAAAGCAGCTAAAACGCAGGGAGTTTATTTGACTAACTTTGTCTGTTTGTGTCTGTAGATTTCTCCTGAATTCACCAACAGTTAGGATCACATGAAGCCTAATTTGCATATTTAGACATGAAACTTCAGAAAACTTGTAAAAACTTGATTTGAATATGCAAACAAAATAAAACAATACTTTTTAACATGGATTTACCAAATGTTCACAATTCTGTTCTGGAATACTCCGTAAATAAAACATATTTGATAAGAAAATGCCTAATTTACACATATAAACATAATATTTCATAAAAGTTGTAATACAAAAAGTGAGAAAGTTTTATAGTGATATCTATTAGTTAAATATTTGACCCTATTCACATGTAGTGTTCCTGTCATGACCCTTATATTTATATAAAAGTCCTCGCACGAAACCTCTGATATTTCATCGAGCTTCTCATATTTCCTGACTGAGGGACTACAGGAGGTCAAAGATCAAAATGTCATGGCACCATAAGTATTAAATGTGAATGTGCAGTGAATAAATAGTGTTTTGGAGGTAGAATTACCCCGTAGTGGTTCATGGTGTTGGGTCTTCCTTTGGGGGCGGAGGACTGCTCAAAGTGCTCCAGCTCCTCCACCAGCTGCTCACAGAAGCTTCTCTCAAACACCGGGAAGCGATAAACTGGGCAGCTTCAACAGAAACATGGGAATCAATGGTTATAAAGGGGGGAAACATGAGGTGCAGGGGTGACTGTTTTGTATTTAGTTTTGTTCATTATTAGGCCACTAGAGAAGAGGGTTTCTGTTCCTTTAATAAGTAATTAAAATGTTATCCGCCTTTATTTATATCCTGCTTTAAAAATACTGTTTGCTGAATCCTTTTAATTTGAGATCGTCATTAAAACAACTTCAATTTTACCAACTCCATCATCCTAAAAGGGAACATTTTTACAAAAATGTTTGTATGAGAGCTAATACTTCCCATGTTTTTGCTTTTTTAATACATTTAAAAATGGATTTTAAGACATTTGTATGCCCTGTATAACCAAGCCTTACGTGATAGTATCTGTACACTTGGGATTCAACCACATTTTTTTAACTAAGACGTGCATAACAGTATGTATACTCTTTAAAGTCAACAGAGAAAAATGGGAATTATTCATTTGTGTTGCGTCAGTTTCACTCTTCAATCTTCAGTCAACCAACAAATAAAATGAAATCTACTGTAATTGACATTAAAAGTGCACATTATTCACGAAGAGGTCAAAGGTGACGGCGCTGACTCGGAGAAATCCACTATCTGCTTGAACTTTGGAGCGAGGTAGGACTCCTGAGGAGAGGAGGGGGGGGGGGGGTTGCAGGTGTGTTTCAGCGATGTGTTACTGTATGCACACATTCATTACATGGCTGAGTTGAATACTCGATTCTGAATGTTCATTTTGGACTTTCCAGAGGTCCAATTTTAGCTAGCAGACCGTTACTAAGGAGAACAGACCGTTGCTAAGGAGAACTCGCTGCAAATAATCCCTGCCTTAACCTGTTAACCTGTTTTTCAGGTCTCAGGCTTGAAAATGACATTCCCAGAACAAATGACTATATCTTCACTTCTAAAAGGGGTAAATGAATAATCTTTTTTCTCAAAGCAATGATACACCTGTGAGTTGGATTTAGAAGAGTCAGAATCAATATAGAATTGTTTTATTTTAAATTCAGATTGAACATATTAAAACATGTAAATTATAGTGTCCGTCCAAAAAAAACATGACTTATAGTGAAAACCACCCTTGAATGATGGGATCGGAGACTAAAAGCTTTAGGAATCCAAACTATAACATATACTAAGTACCCTGTATCAAGATTGATGCAAAACAAGTGACATTCAACATTTTTAGAGAGGTTTAGAAGAAAAAAAACACTTCTGGGGTCATTTGGGTGCATTTGCCATATCTCTGGCCCCCTTCGGTCGATTTTGATGATTGACATCTCTTTTGAACCGTTAGAGCCAATAGAATCAAGGGGAAGTTCCTAAAATCCATCTAAACATTACCCATTGGTGAATGAGTGATGCGTAGCCAGAATGCCCAAAACGGGAAGCTGTCATACACTCTGGTAGCTATGATAACAGCTATATGAAAACTCCGTTATTGACATAAATATGGTGATGGATTATCAGTAATCATTTCAAAGTGACACAGACACATTGGATTAACCTTCAGCCGCGTTTTTCTCGTTTTAATGCCATTGAACACAACTTTTGATCAGAAACAGCAAAAGGTAAGACATATTTGCCGTATTTGCTCCGTAAAGCTACGTCGTGTGATGTCTGGGTTTGCTTCCCATGCCACGATCACTCAGGGCTCATTTAGACGCTTCTTGTGAGACTTGTGTTTTGTTTCTGTGAAAATGGTTCGTATCGTGAGTTCGCTGAGTTTCTTACCGTTAGGTGGGTATGACACATTCATAGTTTGTTAAAGGTTAAAGGTAGGGTAGGTAAGTTTGAGAAACCGGCTTGAGATACACTTTGTTATATTCCATGGAATGCTCTTAACATCCCGATAGCAATGAATATCTTAAGTGCTTTGACAAAAAATCCATAAATAAATGTCATCTGTGGAAGCTGTAATACTGTAAAAAGCACGACCAATCATCTGAGCCGGCCCGGCTAAAATAACTGGATGGCCTACCTGCCTGTCAGCCTTCCATCTGTGCACAAACTTATCTCGTGCCCTCATTGGTCATGTGCGCGTTTGTGTGTGTTGGAGGAGGGGCTCTGTAAGGAAGTGGCAGATTTTCTCCGGTTGTGTATTTTCAAATTATAGCGCACTCGAGCTGGTTTCTCCAAAATTACCTACCCCACCTTTAAATGATTATCTGAATCTTATATTTGCATTTCATTTTTCCTGTTAGAATGCCTTTCAAAATAAACAAGGCAGGGTTACATACTTTATTTAGATTTGTGATGAATGTTAAATTACACGGCTTAATTGAATACTCGATTCTGATTGGTTAATTTGGAGATTGCAGAGGTTGTTAATACTCGATAACACAGTGGCGAGCCGTCAGGGCCCTATAGGCCCTCTGTGAGGGCCTAAGATATTCAAAAAAATAATATTTAAAAACATTTAAAAAAAAAATATATTTTTCAAATATATATTTTTTAATATTATTTTTGTTATATTTTTCATTAGTTTTACCGAAAAAAAACTTGATTTAATTGTATTTAAAATAACATTTCCAAAGAAATAAATCCTTCGAATCTGCCTGTTCAGTCTCTGTTGAATGTGAAGGGTTACATGAAAGAAGCTCGTCTGGCCCTCTCTGCGATTCACAGAGGGCCCGCTATAGTAACTGAACGAGAGAGTAATGTCAAATGACAGTACAATTGACCAATCATATCTTCCCTCTAAATGGGTGGGTTTTATTATCGCGGACTTTATGACAAGTTCCGCCCACTGTGAAACTTTTCTTGTTTCCATAGCAACAACAACTTCCTGTCAACAGCGTGAACTCGCCTTTAAAATAAAAGCATGCCAAATTACACTTAAGACATACAACTGCAACGAAAGTAACAAACACAATGCAATATCATTTTCAATGTCAAATAACACAACTTGGGTTCACAGATGTTGTTTTGTGTGGTAGAGGGTCGCTGTCATTGATGCGTTTTGCACCCTGGGCCGTTGTTTTGATATTCCGCTGAAGTATACGCTGTGACGTAATAACTATTTTTTTTTCTTTTTTTCTAGGGAATTGGTGGGGGTCAGAGGGCTTAGGTATAAAGCTCACGGCTCGCCACTGAGTTTGAGAAACCGGCTCGAGATACACTTTTTGTTATATTCCATGGAATTACACGGCTTAATTGAATACTCGATTCTGATTGGTTAATTTGGAGATTGCAGAGGTTGTTAATACTCGATAACACACCGCTGCCAAGCAAAATAGTGCCCGGTGGAATTGACGATCGTTTTTAAGTCAATATAATCATTTTCAATTGATATTGTGAGTCAAGTCGTTGGTTTGTTAAGTATGTGGCCGTGAAATAGGCGGATAATGTGCAGCGAGGCGGTCATTATAGAGACATATCACCCTTAAGAGTTGTATTCATTAAACCTTACTTAAAACACAAAGTCTACAACCCAAAGCAGAACTTAAAATATGATTTTAAGGAATCTTCTATTATCCAAAATCTAATATTGTGTCTTCCTTCACTCAGAGGGGAAGCTGTACTACGTCGGACCGAAGAAGGAGGAGAAGAGGGAGGTGGTGATCGAGGCGGAGAGGAAGAGGCAGATTTTCCTCGACTGCCACTTCAACGACATCGGTCATCACCTCGGCCAGAAGAAGACCGTGCACCGAATCCAGAGCAAGTACTACTGGCTGGGCATCATCAAGGACGTGGTGGACTGGGTACGTTCGTCTTTAATGCAGTGGTGCAGGAATGAGTCCTAAAACCAAGGGATGAGTCAGCATTGTATCCCTTCCTGTCCCCTGGTGTTGAAGTTTTTTCTGAATGTGTTTAGGTTATTATCCTGAAATAAGGTCTGAGGTTGACACAAGCTGAAGAGATTTTCACTTTTAGTTTTACGACATAAAATACATCTGTAAATAACCCACTGTCGGTTGCTAACAAGTGTCTAAATGAGAGGACGAAACGTCATCACGCCCAACATTAGCCACCTTTAGCTTAGCGGTGGTGACGTGAAGTCATGTGACCGTGCTGTAGTTCCTTTATAGCCCAACATTAGCCACCTTTAGCTTAGCGGTGGAGACGTGAAGTCATGTGACCGTGCTGTAGTTCCTTTATAGCCCAACATTAGCCACCTTTAGCTTAGCGGTGGTGACGTGAAGTCATGTGACCGTGCTGTAGTTCCTTTATAGCCCAACATTCCCCTTTAGCTTAGCGGTGGTGACATGAAGTCATGTGACCGTGCTGTAGTTCCTTATAGCCTGCAGTTAGCTTTTTCCTTACAAAATCATAAAGTTGGTGTTAATATGTGGAGATTATCTTGCTGAACTAAACATGTCAGTATCATAAACGTTTGTTTGACAAGAGATTATTTCTGCAATAATCCAAAATCCCATTGGACCAGGGAGATGCTGCCTTCAGGGTCCAACACCTGCTCTACTCTATGACACTGTGACTTAATATATTATATTTAACTTTGAACTGTGTCCTGTTTCAGATCAAAGTGTGTGACACCTGTCAGCACACAGAAAGGAGTAAAAACCTGGCCAGGACGGTCCGCCCATTAAAGTGGACGCACCTTGGGAGATCGTTGGGATCGACATTATAGGTTTTTGCCTTAATTTAATTTCCTCCAAATTATATTTATCTGCTGTTTTATTTCTTACTAAATGTTACGTTGCCTTACCTCACCTTACCTCACCTTACCTTATCTTACCTCACCTTACCTCACCTCACATTACTTTACTTTACCTCACCTCACCTTATCTTCCTCTTCCTCTTCCTCAGGGCCTTTCCCAGAGACGCAGCAGGGAACTCTAACGTCATAGTGCTCATCGATTACTTCAGTAAATGGCCCGAAGCTTTTCCGGTTTCAGAGGACGGACGCTCTCTCTGTCGCAAATGTATTTCCAAATGCATATACAGGTAGACACACTTCACAAGATCACCTGTAATCACACTTTACCTGACCAGGTGTTTGAAGCCTCATTCATGATATGTGAATCTTAAAGAGGCCCTATTCTGTTTTGGAGATTCTCCCTCTAGTATGAGAAAATAAAGAGCCAAGTCCATGATCTTCCTGCCAGAAAGGATTCAGTGATGTCCAAGACCAACTGTGTATATATATAATCTGAAAATGATTCGCCTCGAGGCACACACACTGTCTCCCATTTTTCTTCCCTTTCACATGTGTGTTTTTGTTAGAAAAATCTCACTCGTCACCGGCTTGGTCTTCAATATCA